ATCCATTATCTGTTTCAGTACCGTAGATGGTGGTAACTAAAGCCTACGGGGAAACTAAAGCTATTATGGCAGGTAATTTTTGGATGGTGATAGTGGCAGCACTGTTTGGATTCAACAGCTGATGTTGTGTTCTTCTAATAGGAACTTGGACTGCTTTCCAAATACTTGTCTGGATTATTAAAACAATATCACGGTAAGTGTACAAAACTATATATTTAACCTAAAAAATCGATAAAAAATTTACCTTGCATAACTTCTGCTCTGAACAAATCATTTTTAATCTTAAATTCTCATAACTCTCAACAAACATAACCTCAATTTATGTTTCATCACACCTTTAAAGGTTATAACCTATAACCTTTCAAAGGTTATAACCTAACCTAGCACTCTCTAACTAAAGCCAAACATTGCTTTTTAATGGATGGCTTTTGTTACCCCTTTTCCAGGGGTAACTAAAGCCACCATGTTTTCATTTTTTTTCATTAAAAATCTGTACATGTGTACATTAAAATTTTAGTTTCCACGCCTATACGTGTGGGAACTAAATAACGAAACTAAAGTTTTCAAGTTGTTATTGTGAAAGTATTATTTTTGTTAAATATAACTAAATAATAAATTTTTTTTCTGTCCTGACACCAACCGATAAAATAAATTTTAAATAAAAATGAGTTAAATATTTTTTTAATAGTAATGTGGATTTAATTTTCTTTTTCTTTTCAGGTGTTATTAAAAAGAACAAGTTAATGAGTGACGTCACTACTTCAAGTGTTGAACAACTTGTAAAGGTTTGGCTTAGGCAGTCTTGTGAGCGTGAAGGAGGCAGAAATGATCCAGAACGAGGGAATAAACGATCACTCCAAAAAAACTTAATCCGAGACAACCAATTGTTATAACTTATAGTAAAAATTGTAAAGTTTAACAGTTTGTTCGAATGAAATATATTAGCATACGTTAACCAAAGATTATTTTCTCAATTATTTAATTTAAATCGAGCTAAACAAGCACGTGCTTGTTTATCTCGATTTATTGTACATCATTGAATACTTTATTGCCCTATTTCACTTTATTGAATCAGGTTTTGTTTTGGTTGTAATAAAATTCAAGTAAAATAAAATCACAATGTTAGTATTGCTCTAACGTTTTTTTAATATTGGGTTAACATAATTTAGACATGCTTAATGTATAGTTATAACATTGGCTAAACGTTGTTTTTAGCATTGGCCGATGGGCATTGGTCATACCTTGCGCCAATGATCATTTCGGTATTTGCCCAACACATTATTCCAACATTGTGCCAATGCAAATCAATGCATTGGGCCATTTATTTTTTGCTGGCTGGGATTTAATCTTAACTTGTTACATTTAAACAATTTAGATATGTTTTAAAGTTCTTTGTTGATCATGGAAAATAGAAAATAGATGTCACTGTTAGAGAGTTAAAGTCATCAGCAAATATAACACTTGAAAGATATATATTAAAAAAAAAGAATCTCATTCGTTGTTGAATTTTTGTATTTCATTGCGATAATTTTGTGTATGATCATTTACAAAATGTTTCTATGAAAAAAACTTGAAACTGTTTTATATCGAGAGCCGTGTTAAAACTATTGTGCATACTAAATGCCAACAAATGTAGTATGTGACTTGATCAAAGTATTCTATGACTTTTTCGCTGAAAAATATTTAGTGATGACTTTAAAACATCTTTTATGCTAATTATGTTTATGATGGTTTAGGTGTGACAAATCCACTAAGAAAGGATGAAAACATTGGTGTTTTTTATTTCACAATAAAAATCTTGTACATTTTTTTTCTTTTGGTTGTAATCACTAGTTAGGAATTGTCTGATAATTTTGTAAGATTTGAAAAAGCCATTCGACTACGAAAAAGAACTCTATGCATAAAACCATTGTTGGATAGTTAATGCAAATAACTTCTGAAAAGTCCTATCATCAACAGATACTATTATTTTGCCAAAAATGAGGTGTCGCAAAAGTAGATTTTGCAAAAGCAGGTTTTGTGGATCAAAAAGCTAAACTTATCTATTATAAAATTGAAGTTTCTGGTAAAGATTTAAAAATTTTATGCCTAAGCACAACACCTTTATAAAGCACTCTGGTAAGAAAGATGTAAAAGTAACTTGCTGGTATATTTGGCATCACCAGTACAGATGGAGAATGGCGTAGCGGGTAAGATAAGTAGCAATATGAAAAGCAAGACTTTAGTGGGGGAAAAGTGGGGTAACCAAAACAAAATGCGTAGCAGTGCATCCTTGTAAAACAATAAAGAGTCCAGTCAGTCCGCCACGTCATTCCCTGATTTCTCTGCAAAACCTCACTGAAAATGATTATTGCGGATACAACGGCTGTGAATACTGGCAGAAGTATTGTTCATTCTACAGCGTCAGCATAAATGACTAATTTAACTATGGCACAATATTTTTGCTCTCAATATAACGTTTTGGACCGCAGTTTAAAACATTTCAAGAATGAAACCTTAGGGGGTGATACTCATTAAGAATAATCAAAAATAAATACTTATTTCATAATTTTAATTTTTTTTTCTCATAGTATAGTACCAACGCCGTCACATTTACTGAAAAAAAGTTGAAAAGTTACCCCCTTACTTTCTACTCAAAGTTTTGTTGCAAAACGTTCTTTTTTTTTTTTTTTTGATTGTTTATATTAGCCAAGTGTCTAACTTTATCTGATATATGATTTAATATTTTGGACTAAAATAAATGTGAAATAGCATTTAACCAGGAAGTTAATATCTGCTTTCTTATGTATGATGCATAAATGGCCAGAGCCAGAACTCTAACCATTACACCACGCATTAAGTATAAAATTTAATTTTATATAGATTATATAAAAAATAAGAAATTTTAAATTTAGTTTTTGAAAAAAGTATGGACGCACGATATGTATGTAACTTTATCAACATTTATTACACTCTAACAAACAGGCAACATCAGCAGTTTTTAGGATAATTCATTAATAAAACCATCTAAGCTGTTGTAATTGTTGATTTTTAAAAAAGTAGACATCTAAGCTGTTGTAGTCATGGTAATAAAGCAAATTATCAAACTATTGATTATTGGCAACTTAATTTTTATTATTATTGTGTGTGTGTGTTTGTGTGTGTGAGAGTCTTTAAAATGCTCAAAGAAATTCTTACAATCTTATCACAGAGCCCACGAAAGGGCGTTTAACAAAGATGTTGACGCCTTTTAACCAATCAACGATGATTATCTGGTCAGAACCAGCATTGAACCTCATTTCCTTGGCTCTGAGCAAGAAATATAATCTTTTTGTCACTCTTTATTTGTCAGTTTTGAAAAGAAGCACATTTTTTAAAAACTGTATCACAATTTTTAATATTATGCATTATATTAAGTAAATAGTTTGTACTGTATTTATTTTATAATGCCACTGAAAGCAATATTTTTACTACTAGTATATTAGTACTAGCAGTAAGCAACCCGTAAAACGCGTTGTTAGTAAATAAAATTAAAAAAAAAAAACCGCGTATAGAAAGGCCTAGAAACTACTTTAAAATAGAAAAGCCTAGAAAAAGACGTAACTCGACTAATAATAATATTAGATTAGCGTATTCATATTATCAGATTATAATGCCACTGAAAGCAATATTTTTAATTTAGTATTATAATGCCACTGAAAGCAATATTTTTAATTTAGTATTATAATGCCACTGAAAGCAATATTTTTAATTTAGTATTATAATGCCACTAAAAGCAATATTTTTAATTTAGTATTATAATGCCACTGAGAGCAATATTTTTAATTTAGTTTAATAATGCCACTGAAAGCAATATTTTTAATTTAGTATTATAATGCCACTGAAAGCAATATTTTTAATTTAGTATTATAATGCCACTGAAAGCAATATTTTTAATTTAGTATTATAATGCCACTAAAAGCAATATTTTTAATTTAGTATTATAATGCCACTGAAAGCAATATTTTTAATTTAGTTTTATAATGCCACTGAAAGCAATATTTTTAATTTAGTTTTATAATGCCACTGAAAGCAATATTTTTAATTTAGTATTATAAGATTTAAAGCTCTCTTAATATAAAAGTACTACTTATCAAGCAATACTTATCAAATATCAAAATTATCAAATATTATCAAATATATTAATTTATTATTAAATGATTAGTTTTAAAAATGCATATAAATTATATAGCGCTAAATTAATTCTTATCAAAGTTGTTTCTTTTTGTTCGATAGTTCAGTTTTATTTTTTCAAAGTTGCTCAACTTATATTTGTGTTGCTCAATCGAAAATAAAACTTTCATCAAAATAAATAAATCTCCCTAAACGTTTACTTAACTCGTTAGAAACGCTTCTTATAGAGCTATATAATTCGGTTTCACCTGCTTTGCTACACTTTGTTCTCACTTTTAACATATATCTGGACCTCACCTCAAATGGGTTTAATTTAAATAATTAGACTCATACACGCGCTTTTAAACCAGCACACACACACTCACGGTGATACGAAACCCCCGTGTTGCACATCTGTAAAATATTTTTATTTTTTTGTATAGTTTGAGTTTATAAATTTTTTTTGCAGAAAATAACATTAGGTTTTGTTTTCATTTGAATACAATTTAGCCAATTTTCGATTTTTATGTGTATGTATAATTAATGATTGATTTATTACTTTATTTATTGTTTTATTATTGATGCGCGGTGGAAATTTATTATTTGAGCTGCTTCTATATCGATCTTTGAATTTTGACTATGACCAGTTGGAGCTAAACGCAAGGTGGTAAAGATTTCGTGTCTTTTTTTATATAAAACCTTAAAATTTCAATTTTGAAGAAATCAAGATCTTATTGTTGCATTAATTTTTTTTTAGTAAATTATTTATAAAATCTTGGAATCTTTTGTTGAGATGTTCTGATTCATTTCCATATTTGATTTCTTTTTCAAAAGAAATTAAATATGGAATATTTTATTATTTTGTTTAGATCTTCAAAGCTTTCGTCGCAATTGCCGAGATAGCAACTTTTTTTTTGAAAAAAGAAATAGGAAAATTTTGATTGTATCCTTTAAAGAAACTTTAAAGGTTTTTAAAATAACATGTCTGCATTGCAACCGTTTGTTTCCGAGTTTAAAGGAAAAACAAAAATATCGTCCGAAGAGTTTGTCAAAATCTTTAGCGAATTCGATAAAGATGGTATGAAAATTCGTTGTCACTTTCTTGATCTGCTTGCTTATCTTTTATATGTTTACAGATTAATTATATACTATTTATTGTTAAAACATAGTAAAAACCAAGTTTTTGTAATTGAAACTTTTACAGGAAATTTATACGAAACGTTATACATGACGAATCATTATACATCCTTTTCAGTTTTGGTTAATTTACATTTATAAGCGGAGTATATAAAATATTTCAATACTTAACAATATATATCAAAAAAATTATAATGACATATATATGAAAGTAGTATATAAATATATATACATTTTTTTTTACTTTTTAAGATATTATTTATAAAAATTCATTCCAAATGATTCATTGATCCAGTACTAATGACAAAGCCCTATATATATATATATATATATATATATATATATATATATATATATATATATATATATATATATATATATATATATATATATATATATATATATATATATATATAGATATAATTTTCCTTATGCATTTGCTTTGCTAACTGCTACGTATTGAATAATTTAAATGTAGTTATTATAGTTTCAAAAACAATCCTTGTAGGGATTGTAACCAACAGACCAATAACAATTGTTATAAACCTTTTTTTGATTAAAACAACTTTAAATTTAGTTTATTGGGAGACAACATAATATGTTGATAAATTATTGATAAATATAAGAAAGTAAGAGGTTTATAACAAGTGTAAAAGTGTAAAAGATTATGTGATAGTTGGGGAGAAGTTGCGTAACATGTTCTTATGTGTTTAAATTTGTTTTGAACCAATATAGGAATATATGCATAAAAAATAAAAAAATAAATAAAAACGTTCAATACACTGTCAGAGTGTTTGAACATTGAATAAAATTTTTATTTATGCTTATGCATAGCAAAGGCTTAAAGTTGGTATATAAAGGTTCTGTTCAATGGTTGTCAGTTTATTATGAGATTTTATTATAAAGGTCAAAAGTAAATAGTACGTCAGATGTTTGATTTGTTAAATAACAGACGTAAATATATACACAATCTGTTAAACATGTTATTTCTTTTTCTATAGATCTATAGACTAAACTAAAAAGACTATAAATAAAATCTTCTATAAATAAAAAATCTTATTTCTTTGAATATCTATAGATTTGTTTTTAACATAAGGAAACAGAGTGTTTACAAAGCTATTTTAAATTTGTGTTTTTTTTTTTTACTGAATTTTTTCGGAAATAAAAATTTTATTGAGAATATTTTATTTTCGAACGTTATAAAGTTATTAAGAGTTATTATTCATAATCCTATTTTTAGTAATTTTCCTGCTGTTCCGAAATTATTATAATATATATATATATATATATATATATATATATATATATATATATATATATATATATATATATATATATATATATATATATATATATATATATATATATATATATATATATATATATATATATATATATATATATATATATATATATATATATATATATATATATATATATATATATATATAAAGGCGACTTTTTATTAATTAAGTTTAAATATTTTTAAACGTCTATTTATTTAACTCAAATTTTATAAGGCAAGATAAAAGTTCGAATTAAAAAAACTTTCGAATTATAGAAAGTTAATTTCTTACGGTGGCATTTTACGGTTACTTCTAATCAAATTATGGAGGCTTTTGAAACCTCCGTAATTCAAAAATAATAAGTCTCCATAATCCAAAAAAAAATCTTAATTCGAAATTAGAGAGATTCGAAGTAGAAATTGTACTGTATGTTTTAAAAGTCTGATTTTATGGCATCTGTGTATATAGGAAAATTCAACGGCCAAATGACAACAATGAAAAACTCAAAAAAAGGGCATTTTCAAAAAAATCACGCACGGAAACTCCTATTGTTTTGTCTATTAATTTCTCAATAATAAAACAGGCAATATCTAGTTTACTTTCATTAATTCTAATCTATAAAAATATTTTGTAAACAAAAATGGTATACATTAGTAATGTTATCAAAGAATAAATAAAACGGAATAATGACAGAAAAATGCAAATTTTCGCTACTAGATAAATAAATTTTAATCCCTCGGAAAATATAAGTTTTAGTAATATACTTTTTTTTTTTTTTTTTTTTTTTTTTTGTTAATAATATTTTATAAAGATTTCTAGAAAGTTACAGGATTGCTCTATCTTAGAGTCATATCTCTGGCATAAGACAGAAAGTCATATCAATCATTTAAATGTAGTTGAAGCGTAGTCACGCTTGGAAGTTGCGAATTTGTCGAACTCATGTAGTTATTTTCTATCATTTAACGGAAAATATGTCGTAGTCAACAAAATATCATACAGACGCTATTATATTTCAAAAATGCTCTAACTACATCGAGTAGCAATTATAAAATTAAACTTTTGGAAATAAAACTTATAACTGCATGATGCATCTTTATAATTGAACCTTTTTTTTAATATTTTAAAATTTGTTCATATTTTTAATTATAAACTATTTGTTTTTTTCAAGTATAATAGGTTGAAAGCTTGAGTTCTATTGTTCTATTTCTTATTTTAACTTTTTTTTAATTTAATTTTGAAATTTTTTTTTATTAGTATGAAATTTTAATTGTGCGAACTTGAGCAATTCTCGATAACGAGACCCCATTCGGTTTCCTACGAGTCCCGCATTTTTTATTTCTTAATTACAATCATGTAAACTTTATTATATTTTATGACGGATTGCTTTTTCAAAATGTAATAAAGAACAAATAATAATAGAAAGTATTTATTACATCTTTTACTGCACTTTACTTTGATAATAATTAAGTACATTTAATATATGTTCGGTTTCGACATATTGTACATTGGGTATGTGGATGCATTATTACCTGTCATAAACTTTGGTGTGTTAAATTTTCTAATATATATTTAAATTAGTATCGACATATTTTAAAGTATTCTTTTTTTTTTTAATTAAAGGAAATGGTTTTATTGAAGCTGGCGAACTTGATAGTTTTCTTAAAGAAATTTGTGGAGATAACGTAGGTTTTTTTTTGTTTCTTTTTACAGAAGCCATTTATTCAACCATAAAATCAAAAAAATTATAAACATATTTATAGTTTTACAATACCAGGTTTGGTCTCACTCAAATCGTTTAAATTTTGTTTTTTACAAACTGTTATTTTTACAAAGTAATAATAAAGATAGTAAACAACAACAACAAAATTTCAAAATCAGTTGAATAGTAACAACAAATATAATAAGCAACAACAGTAAATATAATAAGCAACAAATCCACACACACAAAAAAAATACAGGACAGTACAAACAAAACACATAAAGACTCTACAATATAAGCAATGCAATAGTATTTATATATTGTTTTTTATATTACTTTACATATATATATATATATATATATATATATATATATATATATATATATATATATATATATATATATATATATATATATATATATATATATATATATATATATATATATATATATATATATATATATATATATATATATATATATATATATATATATATATATATTTTAGGAAAAGGATTTAAAAGAGTTCAAAGAAAATTTGTTAAAAAAATATGATGAGAACTTTGATGGAAAAATTTCAATGAAGGAGGTATTATTTAAAAACTTTAGTGGTTTTCTTCATATATTATCTGCAACCTTTAAGAAAAATTAGTTGTAAAAAACAAACAAAATAAATTAAAATAATAAAAGGAGAAAATCTAGATAGATGAGTTATTGTATCATTAGTAGCCCTTTTTTTGTTTGAATCAAGTTAATTAAAGAAATAAATTACTTGAACTTCGTTTTATTTCAAAAGTCACTAAATTCCTGTTTTGTGAAAAATTATCATGCAGAAAGTTGCATTATGCTTTCAGCAAAGTTTCTGAAAAATCTTGGGAAATATGTATTTCATTTTGATCATATCTTGGCCATGAATATGGTTCAAAGCATTGCATTTATTGGGTTAAGATGCGCTTTTCAGCAACAGATTCTATGCGTGACTTTAAAGTTATTAACTTCTGATAGAATGTGGCTTTTAATTTGATAAATAAAAGGTGTTTTGATTTTTACCTTGGAAAATACCATTTTCACAGGCTTGGTCGGGAAGCGGGAGCGATCGCTCTCGATTGCTGACCACGTAAATAATATTTAGTTGCAAAAAGCTGGCCAGATTTTTTAGCCGTTTTGAGAACATTTTAAAAAGCAAAAAAAAAAAAAAAGCGACTTTAATTGGACCGATGAGAGACAGTTATAAACAAAAAAACAATAGGCAAATAAAATATCTTTAAACGCAAAAAAAACTTAAAGCTAAATAAATTACATTTAGAACAAATATTTTCGAAACATCGCTCTTTTACATTTTTTTTTATAAAATTAAGCGATTTTTATATAAAGTAACAACTTAGATTGTTTAAAAGGGAAACAAATATTCTTTATTTAACTAAGTTTGCAAGTTTTAGTTTTACTTAAGCTTAATTTATTTTATAAATAAAAAAGTTAATTTTTTTAATACCTATTTTATGTTTCGTTGAAAATTTCAACGGTCAGTTTGACTTCACATGAAATGTAAATATAAACCTTTAAACTTGTGAATTTTTGTGCAAAGTTCACAGCCTTTACAGTTCAAAATTATGAGGCAACCCACCGTGTATGGTGCAGAAAGCTCTTTCTTCTTTTATGAAGACAGTGAAGTACAAAGCATAAAGAGTATCAATAAAGCACTTAAAACAATTAACCGCAACGCATGCTTTGACTGCATCACTTACAACTACCCAAGGATGATTGTGGTTTTTATTTGATCTAGTCATAACAGAGGCATCGTCACTGCAAAATTCTAGTCAATTTTATATTATTAGAAATCCAAAACTCCATGTCGATTAAATAAGTTTAGGATCTGAGTTACTATTTCTGAAGAATTAACTGCATACAAATGTGTTGGAAAATAATCAAATGCACAACAAAGATATATAATTAAGCAAGCTTTCCTGAATGTTTTTGTTACAAGCTTTCCCGAATGAGTTAGGATACTGAGCAGACACTGAGGATACTGAGCGGACACTGAGAATACTGAGCGGACACTGAGGATACTGAGCGGACTGGGACTGTACCCTTAAAAGTGTTATTCATGGATAGTTAAATAAAGAAAAAACAATAATGATAAAATAATATTCTTAACAATAATAAAAATAAGAACAAAATATTTTTTAAGGAATAGTCTAGCATTTAAACTTTCATTCAGTATCATAATAGTAGTTCTTTAAAAAAGTAAATATTTAATGAGAAAATCATATTTATATATATATTTATACATCTGGCGAAACACAGATGTGCAACTTGCTAAACAAACAGTTAAATTCTGCATATAGCAAGAGTCTTCCTGGTGATCCTCCTATTATCCAGCCACCCACAGATGAGATTCTCAACATAAATAAAAACACCTTCTTTCAAACCGCTGTCAAGTTTGGTTTCTCCAAACAAAAACAAACCACCGTGTATTCCAGCCATAAATCACCATAGATTCTATCTGGAAATCTTTTCAAAAGCTTCATCTATGTTATTCATGCTTTTCTTGTTGATTCACAAAATTTCTTTTACTACTGGTGCTGTTGCTGCTTACTGAAAGTAAACCAACATGCCTATTTTTAAGAAAGGTTTTATAGCTGCATCTTTTATGTTATTTTTTCCTAGCAATTTTTGTTTTAGTATATTTTCAGTAGATCTATATAGGCAATTTTTTGCGACTCATTGGAGTTTTGCTGATCAGCTATTTAGTGGACCATTAGTGACAACAATTATAAATGGCCAATTAAAATTTTATATCACTATTATTTTTCATTAAGATTTACTCATTAAGAAGCCTCCCTAATTTGCATTGTTTTTCAAACAACATGCTGTGTTATATACATAAGTTGACAAAAAGTCTTTCTGAAATATCAAAAGTAATATGAAGGAAGAAGAGATTGCCCCTATTGTCATGTCTTATGGTTTTGTTCTTGCCTTAAACGATCATAACTTCTTGTAAAGTTATCAGATCAATATAATATTTTTGCCATCGCATTATTAATTTTAAGTTGCTTTGAAAATACCTATAACTATATAATTTTTAAATAATTTATTTTTCAGTTGGTGAAGGTTTTGCCTACAGATGAGAATTTTCTTCTTCAATTTCGTGAGTCACACAAACTTCACATTGCAGATTTTTTAAAGGTAAATTTAGCTTATTTAAAATTTGTTAGAAATGAAATAATAAAAATAAAAGGTTTTTTTTTAAATTGTTCAATTAATTCATTCTTAATTAAATAATTTACAGTTAATTTATTTCCAATCAACACATTCTCAATTTACTCATTAAACAAATGAATCGATTAAAACAATTCATGTGTCTTGTGTGTTAAAAATTGTTTACCCTCCCCTTCTTTTTTCCCCAAAACCCTAAATTTTTTATTTATTTTGAGTTTCGATTTTTTTTTCAAAGTTTTTAAGTTAGTTTTAACTAAATTCACAAAATTTATTTTATCAAATTAACACCTACTCAGCGTGTAAAATAACGGCCGGTCAATGAACGCCCAAAATAAGTAAAATTGCTATTTTGACCTCCCAAAATGAATTCTTGCCAGTCAGAGTTTTGAAAAACAAGATTTGAGAAATAATCAGATTATTATTTGAAAAAAGTATGCAGTAAATTATCATATAATCATTAAAATTTTAAAAAAGTTTATCAGTTTATCAAGCTTCCTTTAAGAAATAAAATGAAAATCTGCGCACCTAATTTTAAACTATTAACATTGTTGTGTAATTTTAATGTTAGTTATTTGCAAGTTTAAAAAAGGAATACTAATTCGTTAATTATCAAAAATCAAGTTATTTTTGTATTTATAAAGTTCAACTAAGAAGAACTGTTACAAAGATTAAAATAAAAACAAAGAAAATAATAAAAATGTTGACCATCCACAAAAAACAATTGACCGTCATCTCCAAGGGTTAGCTAGTCAAATTGACCGCTTGCCTTTGATTTCTTATTTTACACGCTGCCTACTTATCCTAATTTGACTTAAAACTAAAAAAAGAAAATAAAAAAAATGGAGCATTAGTTCTAAACTTCTATGACTATAATAATAGAATAATTTATTTGTTGTTTATTTATGAATTTATTGGGCTAAGGCACAAAGAAGTTTTGTTAAATTAAAAGTTGAAAGCTTAAATTTATGAAAAAGCTTAAAAACAAAATAATTTTAATCTTATAAAAGTAATTCCTCATAATTAAAAACTGTAGGCATGCAATCAACTGTAAATGCTGGTATTAAATTGCGAAAAGGCACCTTTGACTAGTTCATATTTATGTATCCTGTGATGATGCGTTGCACAAACCAAGATATTCATTACTGAACAGAATCTTTTCTGTTATCTCTACTGTTAGTAGCAAAATGTTAGATGTCAAAGTGAATGTTTAAATGTCCAGATCATGTAAAGATTTTTTTGTAACTCAAGGTCTATAAAAATCTAATCCAACTGCTTATGAAAGCAAATTTTTACACGTTTGCAAACATAATTACCAAGCTCTTTTTTGGGGTATAGAGTTAAGAACAAAGTGTGTCTTTGATTATTTTAATGCCAATAGCCAATTATGACATGTTCAAAATTTAGTGTGTTTGGCATTACCATATGCATAATGTGAGTAGAAAAAAGTAAGGAATATAAATGTTATGTAACAAAAGTAGGAATTTGGGTGTAAACTTTAAAGAAAATAGAAAAAATATCTAATAATATTTATATTGACTCTTGATATGATATTGAATTGTTGACAAGTTTAATTGCTGCTTTAATACTAAAGCAAAGATATCTGATATTCGAAATTAAAGATATTTTAAAACAAATATATCTATTAATATTTTAAAACAAAGATATCTACTAATTTTTTAAAAGAATTAGAATGAGCCATGAATAAAAAGTTAAATAATGATTTGATAATGGCATCAAAAAATTTAATAATGGCATTAACTTTAAAAAGTTGACGAAAAATGAGAGAATAATTGAAAAAGGAATGTATCTGGTAAATTTTGTAGATTTTGGTATACTTTTTTATGAATAAAATTGTACTTTTTAAAATTTTTTACTTGAATTATGTTTTTCTCAGAGTAGCAATATATGCACACCAGTTAATATATTTGGAAAATCAAATTTAATCTTTCTATGAAATTTTAATAAAGTTTTACCACTATTTTATTCTATAGAATGAATAGAAATTAAAATTTCGGTCATAATCTATGATTGTGCCATTGTAGTAGTGAGAAAATATAAAAAGTTTGACCCACTCATTTTAAAGAAAATGATTGGGTCAAAATTTTATTGAAATCAATGTATTGTAAAAGTAAAATTTAAGATAAATATAGGGTAGCCCTTAATAAATTTATTAATATTATTTTATTTATTTGCATTAAATGAAAATCAATTTTTTTAATTTTTATTTATTGTAGCTTTGGTACCATTATGATACTGACAGAAGTGGATTTTTAGAAAGAAGTGAACTAAATGTAAAGACTTACTTTGTGCACCTTCTATATAGTATTATTTAGATGTAAAGTATCTATATTTAAACCGTTGGTAGTTAATATAATCTACAGTGTATAAAATTACACCTTAATATGAATTAGATTTTTAATGTAAATTTTTTAATGTTCTATTTCTAGTTGACCTTTTGATTTTGATTTACAGTCCACCTATTCCAATAACTTTTGTTTTCTTTCAATTTTTAATAACTTTTATTTATAAGCTTTTTTTATGTAATTTTTTATACATTTCTTTTAATATAGGATAATAGACAATCACCTAAAATGTTATTGAAACTGTTTGAAATAACACTACGTTATTATAGATTGCACAGATAATTCTAAATAAATCTGTAATTGTTTTTTAGTATAGACATATTTTATATGTTTGTTTGATATATTGTATGATATGTATATTTATTATTTATTTATCAAAAGGGGTTTCTTCATGATCTATTGAGTAAGCAAAATGAAAATGTTTCTCCACAACGTATTAATGATTATGCTGAGGCTATGGTTTGTCATTTTTTAGATTTTTTATTTTATTGATGATAAATGTTTAATGTTGTATCAAATAAGATTCAAATAAGATTGTTACATGACGATATTGTAATGACAACAATAATACTAAATTGCAGTTTATGTAGCTTATATTAGTCTAGCCAAAAGATATATATATATATATATACATATATATATATATATATATATATATATATATATATATATATATATATATATATATATATATATATATATATATATATATATATATATATATATATATATATATATATATATCAGTCTTCTTTGTTTAGCCAGCGCTTTCTCGCTCAAGTCTTTTTGCACTTGCCTGCAAAAACTTTGGCAAGCACATAAAAAAGAGCTTTTGTCAAAAAAATAAAAATATTTTGTTTTAAGTTGCAACAAAACTTTTTTGTTCATTTGTTTAACTTTTATGAAATAAGCCTTTCTTTGACCAGTTTTTTTTTAAAAGTTATTTTACACGGCTGTTTCACTCAATATAAAAGCAAGCTTGACATCACACGAGAATTTTTGTGTTAAAAAAAAAAAAAAGAATTTCCGCATAAAAAGTATAAAAATTCACTAACTTTAAATTAATAGTATTTTTTAATTTAATATTTTAAGCTACATGCTTTAATATTTTAAGCTACATGCTTGATGATTGAAATTTTATATACTTATAAACGAATGTCTGTTTTATCAGATTTTTAGAGGGCACAGATAAAAAAAATAGTTTCAGTTTTTTTATAATTAATTTTTTGTTTTTACTTGTTTCATATGAAAAACGTTTAATTTTTGTTATGCCCTCCAAATTATTGAAATTTCAACCCTCTATGCACATGAAAATCAAAAAAATTACTTTCTGTACTTCTAACTAAAATGTCTTCAACCTTGGTAAACTTTTTTGCTTTTAGCAAAAATTTGTAGTTACATGCGTAAAATTTTTGTTTATGTTTTAAAGCAATGACGTAACTTTAAATGCGTTAATTCCCAATTCTCTATGTAATTAAATTTATTAAAACAGCTTTTTTAGCGAGACAAATTTTAGTGTATAAATAAAAAAAACTTTGGCGGTTTTTTTCTCTCGTGGCTAATCTACAAACATCAGGTAAGTTGTTAAATCCTCTAATATCTATTTCATACTTGTTATTTGTCAATAATTATTATTTGATTTTATTTGTTTGTGTTATATTTGTATAAAGAAGTTTATTTATCACTATGCATTCTAGTGAAAGCAAGATATTAATACTATACATTGGATGCTTAAAAGCTTAAGCTTTAAATTTTTAGGCATTAAGCTTTAGTTTTAAATTTTTTAACATTTAAGTAAGATTTTTTTGTTTTTATAATAGTCCAACAATGTGTATATTTAATAATAATTATCGAAAATATATTCTTTCTGAGTTTTTTTTTGATAAAAAGTAACATTAAATTACTAATATTAAACCAAGTTCAACATTTGCTGTGTTTATTCTAAAATTAAAGAAGTTTTTTAATATATCTGTGAAACGCCATCAAATAAAACATTTTATTGGTGTTTTTATTCTTTTTACAGAACAAAATTATTTCTAATGTTTCAAAAGTTATAAAAGTTTTAGTAACACCCCTTACATGAATGTTTTCAAAAAACAACAAGAAGCCTCATTCAAATCATTTTTTTCGTTATTTTATTTTAATTTAAAGAGCAGAAAAAATCTGCCAGCGCTTTTTCATGCTCTGGCATTTATTTTTAAACAGAGAAAACTGATATATATATATATATATATATATATATATATATATATATATATATATATATATATATATATATATATATATATATATATATATATATATATGTGTGTATAAATATATTTATGTATAAATATATATATGTATATATATATACAGGCTTGGACAGGAATGGCGTATGATTGAGCGCTATTGCTGACCACGCAAATGATTTTATTTTTTGACAACTTGACCACGATTGTTTAATAAACAATGTTTATATGTTTTGATGAGTTAAAAATTTCAGAAATGTTCTGAATGTAGAAACACTAAGCTAAACTTAAACTAGGAAAAAAATTAAAAAAAAACTAACGAAAAAAAAAACAAAAAAACAAACAAACAAAAAATTCCTAACGAAAAAAGAAATGAATAACAAATTCATAACGAAAAAGAAATAATATAAGCTCCAAAATGAAAATAAAAACTTAAACTCGAAGCGAAACTTTTAGTTACGTTTTTAATTACGTTAAAATAAACGTTATTAAAACTTTTTAAGTGTTATTAAAGTTACACAAAACGTTTTTAAATAGTAACAAATTAGTAACAAATTACTACTAATGATTGGTTTAATAAAAGGACAAATTTTATTAAATTTATTAAAAAGTGTTTTATATAATATTTTTAAATTGTATAAACATTTATTTTGTCAAAAAAGTAGCAAAAAAAATAGTTTAAAAAAATAACACAGTCTTTTTAAAATAGTAGTTTTTACTAATTTCATGCTCTAATTTGTGAGTCTAATTTAAAAAAAGGTTTTGAACTTTTTTATTCGTAAAAATAAAAGAAAAAACAAATAAATAAATAAAATGTGCCTGCGATTTACTGCCAACAACCTTTTTAATTTAATTTTAATTTGAGCATTACAACTTTATTAACTAGCGCTTCACGTAACGAATTTAAAAATTATTATAAAAGATTTAAACTCATTTCTAACGAAATTGGAAAAAAAAAAAAATTTTTTTTACAAAAAATAAAATGTTTATTTCAAACATTTTTAAAAGTCGTAAGTTTAATCATAAAAATTAATCGTATGAACATTACAAAAAGCTCTAAAACTTTTTCATTAAATCAACAAAATACATGGTTTAATGTAATTGGTTTAAAAATGTTTTAGGAAGACATAAGAATATAGTTTTAAACGTTTAAATTTATCATAAAAAATAAATGCCTACATAAAAAATACTTATAACGTTTTTTATTAATTTACACAAGCGTTTATGTAAGAAATAACTATAATTAATTTTATGGTTTTATTTAAAGCCTTTGCGTAAAATAAAAAACTTTTGAAAAGATCAGCGATTAAAAGATATTTATAACGTAACACTTTTTTTTATTGCATTCAAATTGTTAAAACATCAAAATAGCCATGGTCAAGTTGTAAAGAAATAAAAATATTAGCGTGGTCAGTTACAGCGTGCGATCGCACGCCATTCCTGTCCAAGCCTGTATATATATATATATATATATATTATATATATATATATATATATATATATATATATATATATATATATATATATATATATATATATATATATATATATATATATATATATATATATGTATATATATATATATATGTATATATATATATATATGTATATATATATATATATATATATATATATATATATGTGTATGTATATATATATATATGTATATATATATGTATATATATGTATATATATATATATATATATATATATGTATATATATATATATATATATATAAATATATATATATATATGTATATATATATATATAAATATATATATATATATATGTATATATATATATATAAATATATATATATATATATATATATATATATCTATATATATATATATATATATATATATATATATATATATATATATATATATATATATATATATATATATATATATATTTATATTTATATATATATATGAGTGCCTCTAAAAACAACTTTTTTTGAAATTGTCTGCTGCCACCCTAATACCCCTAAATGTGTTCTATGTAATAAGTTAACACTAAATTAAAAAAAATTTTAGGGGTTGCTCAAGACTCTTAAACATCAAACGGGTCCCTAATATTTTGAAAAAAAAGTTCTTCAAAAGTAATCATGTTTGGTCTCAAAAAAAGTGAAATTTTATAAAAAATTTCAAAAATAATAAAAACAATTTTTTAAAATATACTCTCTTTTTCAAAAAATTAATCAATATCCTCTTTTTTTATATAATAAAATTTTTTTTTACTTTTTGATTTAAATAGTTAAGGAATTTGAAATTAGTAAAAATTGTGTTAAACCGAGTTAAAAATGTTATTTTTGACTATAAAAAATAATTGAAAACTTGTCTGAAAACTTGTTTACAGCAGAAGTAAACTGTTTAAACAGTTACACAGTTGAGGATTTTTATTAACTGAAATATATAAACAATGCCAATGCAGTAGTAAAGCTTCAACTGCTGGGAATGCTTTTTTGCATTTGTATCTACTGTAATATGAACTAATGCAAGATGTAAATATTTGTTAAGTATTATTAAATGTATGTTAGACTATTGTTCTTACATGAAATTAATTATTGCTGTGTCTAGCGCAATGGTACCGTCGCTTTAATTTTTTTCTTAAAGTCATGGTAGTGACTTCTGATTAGTTGATTTTTTCTTCTTATGTTTAAAGAATGCATGCCCAAGCCTAAACCCTTAATCAATGTATGTGGGTTCCACTGCGTCTATCCCTAAATCAGTCGATGTATTTGCATTCCATTTCGCCCATCCCTAAATCAATTGATGTATGTACACTCACTGCGCCTATCCCTAAATCAGTGGATGTATTTACACTCACTGCGTCTATATAAGTCAATATGAGTCACTGCGTCTATATGAGTCGATGTATGTACACTCACTGCGTCTATCCCTATATGTAAATAAGAAAAATCAATATACAACAATAATATCTTTCAATAAAAATAGTTAAAGAACATTTTATAAAATTTTTCTAAGGGAAGGACTCGATCCCGGATCACTGCAGAAGATGCAGAAATGAGGTAACACAATGCTAAATGTACAATATGGAACGACAAATCTTTTTGAATTTCTACAAATAAAAATTTCATAATTAACCAATAATATTTGCAGTTGTGACTTAAAATAAACCAATCAAACCCTACTACTATGACTTTAAGATGAAAATTAAAGCAACAGTACTGTTGTACTAGACACAACGATTAATTATATGAAGAAATTACAGAAAATAAAAGTTAGTTATAAAAAGCGTAAAAAGTTCTGAAAAGTATCTTCAAAATATTTTCATATAACAAATATTGTATTAACAGATTTTATTGGATTTATTTGATTTTAGTTACATTTTTAAGCAACTTTTATATATTTACATTACCAGATTAAATACGTTAATTTTCATCATAAAAATCTGACTCTATTTGTGGCTCATTGTTGGGATTAGGAAATATATTCTTTTTCTTTGTTTCTTCCATTTGTTTTTTTGAAAAAAGTTTATCATATGATAAAATTTTTAAGGTATTGATATGAGTGAGACTTTTTTATGTTTTTTAGATCGAACTGTTTGATTCAAATAATGATGGGAAGATTGAATTGAATGAACTTGCAAAGTAATTATTTATTTGTCGGAAGTATCCACTTTATATCATGAAAGTTATAGTTTGTCTGTTGTATTTTTATAAGTCTAAACTAACATACTAATTAAAATTTAATTATTTTCAGGATAATTAGTGTCGAAGAAAACTTCTTGAAGAATTTTGAGGTAAATATAAAATTCCGATATGAAAGCTAAAAATAAAAAAAATCATAGTAGTTGACATTTTTTAATTTCACACAAAGTATTTTTATTACAATGGATGATGTTGTTGTAGACATCACATAAATGTTTAGTGATGATTTTGTAAAAATAATGCTGTTTGCATTGTAATTAACATATTAAAAAAATAGCTTATCAATGCAAAAATGTTACATTAAAATTATGTATTATTTTAAATAATTGTGTAATATGTGTATAAAATGCCACAAAGGTCAATACAGTCAAAGAGGCTAATTTAATTGTGGTTGCAAAATCTCTCAACTCTATAACTCCAAAATATGAACCTTGAGGAACAAGGCTGCTGCACAGAGAAACAAGTTAGATGTAGTACTACCAGGGGCATGGTGGGGATCGAACCACTACCGTATTGTATTACCTACCATTGTACCCAATGTATATATTTAAAAAATAACAAAAAAAACATCTTTGCAATCCTGTCAAAAACTATTCCTAGCTTTATTTATAACCGCACTATTTATTGCTACCAAGTACTTTTTCAAGTATCAACTACTTTTTTGTCACCAAACTAAACAGAAAAAAAAAGGAAAGAACCTTGCTTTAAAAAAGTAAATAAAAAGAAATTAAATAAAATGGCTGTAACAAATAATAAAATAATATTTTAATACATTCAAAAAATAATTCTTTAAAGAGTTTAATTGCAAACTATTAAGCAAGAAGAAATTGAATATCGAAACCTTAATATTTATTTGTTTAAACTCCATTATAAAATGGTAATTAAATTTAAATGGTAATTAAATTTAAATGGTAAAGAAAGTTTTTTGTTATGTTTTTTATAAATAACTAGTAAAACCAGTCAATTAGAAAACTAACTAGTATATAAATAATTGATGTATAGTATTAAAAAAAAACACATTAAAGTATTAAAGTTATTCTATAGTTTTATTAGATCGTTTTTAGATGCAAACAATTTTCAATGATGACTTAATTTTTAAATATAATTTTAATTATAACTTCACTCAATTCAATCACATATCTGTGAATGGTGTAATGAAAAGTTGTGGAAAAATTGGAAAAAAACTTACCAAAGACTTAGTCAGTGATTATAAAAATGCAAATTAAAATAAATTTTATTGAAAAAATGAGTCAGTGTAATATTGTAATTTTCTTATTTGTGGTTTTCCTTAATGTTTTCTTTGTAATTAATCTGTTTATTTTACTTGTAATGTCCTAAATTATCATGTATGTATGTATGTAAAGAAAAAAGAAAGATATACAGACAATAAAGGAGAAGAATTCATTCAAATAAAGATATTAAACTATTTTTAAAATATTCTTCAAATATATTAAACTATATTTGTAGAATGTTTTAAATGTCTAATATTTAACAAATTTTCATGTATTTCCTTGCTTATGTTTTGATTAATAAAACTAGGCTACAGACAGAATTTTTAAACAATATCTATATACATAATAACTAATTTACATTTAAACTTCTACAATTTTGAAAGTAGTTTCTAAAGTAGTAAATGAATTTTTTTCTACAAAAAAGCACATAATAACATAACAATAGTAAAATAAAACTGTGTACTTTTTATTTAGTATACACAAATATTTTAGTCGTTTTATAGTGAAGATGATTGTTTTGCCTTTTTTATTTTGTGTTGTTTTTAATAATTTTATAGGAAGTCAGCATGGATGAATTTGAAAAAATCTTTGCTCACTATGATCAGGTTTTTTATTTAATTTTATTTACTCGCCTTGGTTTTATTCTTGTTGTTTGTATCTATTCTATTATCAATATTCAAAATATAAAGATATACTTGATCTGCCTTAAAAAAACACAAAGCAATTAATTTGACTGTAATCTAAAAGTCATATTACGCTAAATGAAGAATCTTTTAAAATCTTTTTTTTGTTTGTTTTGCAGCTGTAGTAATGCTAATGCTAAGCTGTAGTAATGTTAAAATGCTAAATCCTCCAGTTTTCTTTTTTAGGTATTATACACATGTCTTATTACTATATAAAAATCAAAGTTATACTAATTGTTAAACCAAAATATTTATAAGTTTCTATTAATCGTTTCATATATATTTATATTAGTTACTTTTAACATATATTTATACTTTATATAATACTTTTATATTAGTTTTTATAATACTTTATATAATACTTTTATATTAGTTAATGTATGCTTTATGTGAAGAGCCCATTTGCAAACACGCTAATTTCAAGTCTGATTTTATGAAAATAATGAAAAACTAAACTACTCTTACTTGCGCATTAACAGATATTGATATTTTCTTTGTATATTTTTAGGGTTAAGTAAGGTTTTTTGGTAAGGTTTTTTTTTAGACATTTAAATTGTTTTTATTTGATACTAGCATGCATTTTGAATATTTTTCACATAACCGTAATGTGAATAATCAATTCCTTACAAAACCACTTTTCCATTTCCAAACATGTCAATGTTTTAAATTGAAGTGTTGTTCTTTTTATCTGGTTTATGTCATTGGTATCAATTTGGTAGTTAGTGTTTCAATAAAGGTCTAAAATTTCAGAACAAATATCAGACTTTTGCAGTTCTATATAAAACAAAGTATTGTTGTTTCCAATTTTAATGCTTGAAAATAGCTAACAACCTTTCTTTTACAGAATCTAAAGTAAATCAAACTATTTTATGGTAGCTACAAACACATATGTTATGATGCAAAGTTGAGATTCATTAAGCTTTATATTTGACAAAATATGCTCGTATTGAAAAAGCTAGTGTGTTTCTTTGAGTTAAAAGAAGATGATAAGTTTAAACCTTGACCTTTCCATTTATAATAATTTGAACAAAGTTTTTAAGATATGGAAACTGTTGATTAATGTAGAGCTTTGTGTTTTTTTTTGTTTCAGTCAATGCTCAATTATTTACAATGAATAATGAAGTTGCTTAATGATGGGGATGACCCCATCCATAAATTATGTCATGTTCTAGAGGGTTAAGTAGGAGGGTAACTATGCAGTAGTGGCAGAGCACTTGCTTCATAAGAATGAGGTTCCGAGTTCGATCCCCACAACGTCCATGGTAGTTAAGCAACTTAGCAACTTAGCAACGTCCATGGTAGTTAAGCAACTTGTTTAATAATAACTTTAAACAAACAAATAAATATATGATTATAGATTTTTTACTGTCAATAAATTATCACTTTGCTTTTGTGTAATAAAGTGTGATGTAATGTCAAAACATTTAGTTAAAGTGCAAAAGGTTTTTAATTTAACTGCACAACTTTTCATCTAGCATTAGCTTTATCATTTTGTTTCTTTGAAAAGTAGAATTTTCTAGTTTTGTTTCAGCTTCTTGAGGTTGTTTGTTAAACATTTCTTTAAAATAATTTATTATTCAGGATGGAAATGGTTATGTAGAGGGAACAGAACTTCTTGGGTTTATTAGAGACTTAATGGCTTCAAAATCAGACGTTATCAAGGTATTGCATAAGTTTTTTCTGCAGATTATTTGTATATATATTTTTACATATTTATATTTATAAATAGTTTTATTAATCAGTAAATAGTAAAGTAAAATAAATGGCAACATTGTAAATATAAAAACTGTGAAGTGACAAGAAAAAAATCATATTAATTAAAATTCAAATCTTGTTAAATTGATTATTGATCTGTATTAGAATTCATATATTGGTAATTAGGTCGCTAAAATAAACTTATTTTATTGGTTTGTTTTTTTAATTTTAAAACAATTTTTTATCTCATTACAATATTTTGATAATACCAGTTCTAAGTAATGTGTCTAAGTAATGAAACGCTCTTGGCTATGTGGATTGGTTAGTGAAACGATGGCGAGTGAGTAGAGCGAGTTGTTAAATAAACGCATATGTAATAACTATAGACGCATATGTCAGAAATCTTTTTAAATCAATTGTTAATTTAAAATAAATAAAATTTAAAGTACATTTTTTTTATATTTCCGTTTTTATGTTATGCTAGCTTACTCTAAATACACATTACATAATTATATGGGCAAAATTATTTGCTTTTTCTAAAAGAAAAGCAAATAATTACATCCTAACATTCCACTTCATTCTCATTTTCTACTGCATCCTAACTTTATACTGCATCCTAACTTTCTGCTGCATTCTAACTTTCTACTGCGTCCTAACTTTTTATGTGTTTATATGCTAACATTTTTAAGTATACCAAGCTTGTCTTGTTTCAAAGTATCTGCATGTATTTTAGAGTACATCCACTAAGGATTTAGAGTCGTATCAAAAAATAATTATGGAGTGCATTGACGAAGACAATGATGGGAAAGTGTCAAAGGACGAATTGAAATTGTTGTTTAAATGAAAAACTGCTTAATCACTTTTGAAAATTTACTTAATTTATAGATTTTACTCCGAAAAATGTCGAATGTTTATCGGGTAATCTGATATTATAAAAGGGTTTCATAGTTCATATTTCATCTTATATATTTAATATTACATATTATAAATATTACGCACGCAAATATATATATATATATATATATATATATATATATATATATATATATATATATATATATATATATATATATATATATATATATATATATATATATATATATATATATATATATATATATATATATATATATATATATATAATTATTAATATATTAACATTATATATATAATCTTGAAATTTTAGTACACACGTTTTTATACTTTTAGTTGTAATTTATTAAATTCGGCATTTTTATTTTTTTTCATTTTGTGGTTCTGAACATAGTTTTAAATAAAATTTAAATGTACTAATTTCAATAAAATAGAAACTTTGCCTCAGAAAAGATTTTTTTTTTCTAGTTAAAATCCTCTCTCAAAATTTTCTCGACAAACAAGGTCGCTGCGTGGAGAAACAGGTTAAGGCGCGGTACTATTAGAGACATGGTGTGGATTGAACCCGGAACATCTCATTTTTACCACTACACTTTGCGCTTTACCACTTTTTAAGTTGCTTTAACAAGAGGGTAAAAATAACTAAGTTGTTAAGTTAGTTACATTAAGAATCGCTGTTTAATAAATGCTTTCGACAGTTTAGCATTTATGACTGCTCTGTCGTAAGTTATTTACGACTGCTCTGTCGTAAGTTATACTCTCAATATACTTTAATATTACTATTAAAAAAAATTTCAATACATTTTAATGAATTCTATGCATAGTAAAAGTAAAAATGCAAAAAATGTTTTGGTCTTGAGTTTATTTTTTCTAAATTAAATATGAATTTGTATTAGTAAATAACAAGGAACTTGATTTGAAGTTACGTTACATCTTTGGTTTCTCACCTTGCACAGTGGGTCAACGTATGCCAAAAAAGAAAAAAATTGTGTTTAATGCAGGTTTAATGGTAATAGTTGTTTTCCATACTTATAAAGCTTTAATAAAATGATAGTAATTAAGTAAGTAAGGTTAGTCATTAGCTTTTAAATTAAAGTTTATACGACCTGTTGAAGATGAAATTTTTTTTCAAATTTGTAAATTTTAAAACAAAAATTAATTAAAAAGTACATGTCGCTACAGATAAAATTTAAATTGTGTAATGAATTAAAACTATATGCGCTATTTTTTTTTTTATATATATTAATAGATTTATCTTTTTTTTTAAACAACAGAACTTTGCTGCAAGTTTTTTGCTTGTAAAGTTAGAAATTTTAAACGCATTAACTTAGAAGTTAATGCGTTTTTGTATGTTTTTGAGTGCAAATTTTTACTTTCTTAAGTTAATCAAAAAAACCTTCAAAATCCTCCAGTTTGAAAATACTTTAAAATCTTTATTAAGTATATATATGATAATCTAAAATTAGTTTGAGCCTCAACAAAGTATCACCTTGTCTAAAAAATAACTTTTAGATAACAGCATGGGTGGAGCCAGCATTTTTTGGTCTTTGAGATACCTAACTTCCAGACACGGAGGAAACTCCAAACATTTATATGTTTATGCTTATGTCAAATAAAGATGCTTTGCAAAAAATTGCGATGATTGGAGCCTGGGAACAAGAAAGCCCCAAAATTTTAGCCCCCTCGAGGGTCCTCCCTGCCCCAAACGTAAGAGCAACAAGTTGATGAAAATTTTTTGAGCTATTTTCAACTAGACTTATATTCATAGATAAAATTTAAATTTTATAGTAAAATATTTTAGCGTTCAAAAAATATGACCATATAAAGTTTAAACCCCCTCAATTTGAGGGGTTGCAAATTTTATATGGTCATAATTCTTGAACGCTGAGAAATTATACTTGAAACTTAAGATACAATTTTAAAAAAATTTCTTTTTATCAAAAATATATTTAGAAGCTCCAAATATGTTATTTAAAGCTAATTTAGTAATATTTAATAAAAAAATAATTTTGGCACAAAAATGAGCAATCTGACCCACTGTGCCTTGGTTTGAAATCAATTAAACTTTTTTAAAAAGTAAAGCTCGTATTTAAAATTTCTTTCTTTCTTATAAACAAGGTTTTAAATTTCATATCAAAGAATTCTTATGTTAGGGCTAGAGTTAGCGTTTTGCGTTGAAAATTTTATGCCTTTAATACAGTTTAGTCATATAAGTTTGTTCTTAGTATTATAAAATACAGTTTAGTCATATAAGTTTGTTCTTAGTATTATAAAATCAAAGTTTGTTTGGGCTAGAGTTTAGAGTTTGGGCTAGAGTTTGTGCTTTAAAATTTTCATACGCATTTTTTTCATCTTTGAATTGCAACACGGTGAGGAATCTTTTATGTCTTATGGATTGTCTTACACTTTTGACTCTCTGGAAACAATCTATCAAGTTGATTGCTTTTAAATTTTTTTGATAAAATAAATAAATTGTTCTTGTTTTTGGGTATTTGCCGACGTGCTAACTATAAAAAGACATTGGGAATATCATCCTTTGTGCCGAATCTCATGTCCATAGGGCGTGAGACGTCTACAAGACGTCGTATTGCAAAAATCTTATAATGAATAATTCTTTACTTCTAAAATGATAAAAGTATTGAATCATTGCGTGATTAAGTAAATAATAATACCAAAAATCTAGTGTCGCAAAGTCTTGTTAAAATAAAAAGAATTTAGTATTTTTATAAATTGTTTTATATGCGACAGTAAAAATTTTCAAAAAGTTTTTATTATTTAAAAGATCATTTCCAACACTGTTTTATATATTGAACATTGATGCAGTTAAATATGTAGCACAGTATAACAGTGTAATTTTGCCATAAAGTCAGTGCCAGATTAGTTGGATAGGGCCCCCCAAAAAGCCTGTCATTAAGGCCCTTATTTCTTAAAAAAAATTTTCTAAGTATTACCAAAATATGTTTTATGTTTGTAGTGTAGTGTAGTGAGCATTGCACTAAACGTAAGTTTCTCAAATAAATTCACACGTTAAAATCGTCGCATTTTCACACTCTTGCTAAAGTATATTAATATTTTAAGAATAATAATATATGTTATAAATAGTCAGCATTGCCTTCAAAAATAAATCTCTAAATAATTGATTGGTTCATTTAATCAAAGTTTATCTACAGAATGCACATTTTTAAATAATTAAACGCTCTTTACTTAATAAAACGTTTTCTGCAACAAATTTTTTATCATGTTGTCTTATACAAAAGTATAATGCTTTGATTTTCTGATTGAGTTTAACTTTTAAATAACGAAGAAAAATGTTTGAAATAAAATTTTTATTATTGTTGAAGTAATTTTAAAAACAAAAAATTTAAAGTATAATGCTTGGCTGCAAGTTTTTAATGTTTATTTTTGTGAGTCCTATGAGTCCGTAAATAATGAGCCAACGTCTTTCAAAAAATACTTTTAAAACAAGGAATCAAATCAAAGAGTCTAATGATAATTGTGTTACTAAAATCAATATTTTTCTAGTTGGAAGTCGAAAAGTTGGAAAAACAAGTTTAATATTCCGCTATGCAACGAATATGTTTTCGGAAACGTATTTCCCAACTATTGGAGTAGATACAAAAGTTGTGGAAGTAGAAACCCACGATGGAAAACGAGTAGCCGTTACTTTTTGGGACACACGTGAGCATTTTTATAACAATTTTAATGAGTCATATCTTTTTAATGGTTAAAAAACGGTTTGAATATTTGAGAAACAAGCAAGTTTTGGTTAAAACTTAATTAGAAAAATTATTTTTTCTAATTAAGTCGTATTTCCGAAATTTGTATGCTTAAGTGCATAAAATCTTTTTTAAGTTTCGACTTCAATAGCAAAATCTTTGTTTAAATCTTTTATTTATCGTTAATTTAGTTCGTTAAATATCATACTATGATTAGTACTCTTTAAAAAATACTGGTATTCTGTGGTTTATCCTCTTCAAGGAAACCAGAATTACACAGGGCCCTAAAAGCGGTGTTATAACAAGCTGAGACTCCGCATTTGGACCTTTATAAAGGGTTTAGTTGCCAGTCAAAGCCAAACAGCGCTAATTTAAAAGTTTCTTCATTTAACGCACGGAGTGGACATATTGCTTTGAGATTTCCGGACGTAAATGGAGAAACGAATAAGCAACTACGCCAAGAACCTATATTGACTGAAACAGTTTCGATCTTATGCAGTTTATGCTTTCTAACAACACCGTAACCAACCAAAAGGAAGTCTGGGGCCAAAATACAAACAGATGCTAACACTTAAGGAGCGTCATAACATGCTCTACGGACCAAGAGTAAAGTGAGTTTGGGAAGAACGAAAGTATATTAGAATGAAAGACAGAAGTAGTTGTGTTAGAAAGATCGCATAGAGAGAGCGGACAGAAACTGCAAACGATTTAAGAAGGTGCAACACATACAATTTAATTAGGTAACCTAAATAATGTACGCCGACAGAGTCGCTTGATATGAACCCTTTATCATTTAATTTTGTTGTCAAAAACTTTAGGCCGAGAAGCGAACTAATTAATGGATTAGATTTGAATAAAAATTTACTTTTGGTGATGGACTAGCAAGTTTCTAGCATTACTAAGAAATTACTTTATTTTTTTACTTGTGGTGCACTAATAAAAAACTTATTTGGAACAACTTTTAAAAATGTTGCGCATTTCATTTTATTTACAATATTAAAAAATTACATTTTTTAATCTCACTAATTTTAATCTTACTATTCGTATTCAATTTTAAATTAAATTAAACCTATTCTTGCTAACTTTAACCATTAAACTAAAAACATTATTTAACATTTAAAATCTAAAAGGAGGTGTAATGAATTTAGCGACATCAAACTACCTTATAAAAACAGATCAACAGTAGACCATGAATCACGACTGTGAAACCTCAGAAAAAAATTGAATCGGTGAAAAGAAGAACAGTTCTAGTCCAATATTTTCATTTCGAGATAATCGATGTTTAAGTTTTAAACAGTTATAGTTTATAAACTATTTATCAATCTTGTGGCAAAAAATAATGAAAGAAACATGGACTAGTATTATTTTGTAGTACATAGAGAGAGCTTGACATGAGTTAAATGAAATTATGAAAAAAAGTGAAAAATAACAAAAAATAGACTAGTACTGTGCTTCTTCTCATCAATTCAATTGAAAAAACTTCAATAACTGAAATGCTTTTTTTTACGTAAAAAAAAAAAAAAAAAAAAAAAAAAAAATAGTTTTTCAGTTAAAAATATCGTAAAGATTTTTTTTTTAAATTTGAATACTAGCATTTTTTTTTTTAAAAAAGTTTTTTTTTTTTTTAAAAAAACTTTTTTTCTAATTCTCACCTTAAACGCCCTTGATTTTTTTTTTCAATATTTAAAAAAGTACTTAGACTTTTTATGTTTATAAATATATCGAACAACCTTGTTGAAAAACATGTTTATTAAATTAATGAAATAAACATTTTAAAAAGTTTTAAATAAAAAAATCATTTCATATTAAACTTTATAAAGAAATAAGTAAAATGAATTTATTGTTAAAATTTTCATGTTATAAAAATAAGTAAACCGGAAATTTTGAGAAAATTTGAATTATTATTTTGATCAGCTTTCTACAAAAATTAGAAAATAAAATAATGCGAACATTGCGTTTTTTATTTTCTAATAGAATACTTATATTAGAAAATATAAGTATTTTATTAGAAAATATTATAATTTTTTTTTTATTAGAAATTATATTATAATTCTAATTATACATATGAATGTTTAACAATTTTAGCTGGAGATGATGCAGTTCGACAAAATTCAAACAAAGAATTGTACAGCCGAGCATCAGGATTCCTTCTGCTTTACGACGTTAACAACGTGGAGTCATACAACGCAGTATATGATTGGTAATTAAATTTGTCTGCTTTATTTATTTTTTCTTATTAATTTAATACTGATAATGTTGCTTAGTTTTTGTTGTTTTTTTTAATATAATTTCATTAACGTAGCTTTTGGGTAGTAATAAAACTTATTTGTTCAATAAAGTGACTCTTTAATTGTTTGATAAGGTTGTTAAAATGGTTGTAGAATCTTTTGATATAATAATTTTAGAATTGTTTTATAAAAATGGTTGTTGCTGGTTTATTCAATGTAACTATTGTTTAATGATTGTTCAAAGTTAGCACATTATAATGTTGTCGACAATGCACGACATTTTCTTATTCCTAGTTTTCAACTTTTTTTTCTTTAAATCTCTTATCTTCGTGTGGCTTCAGCCGCAAAGTCGCATCCTTATACTGTAACTGATCTCTATGCTCAAGAAATCTTTGCTCTAACTTTTTTTTGCTTCAAACATCAATTTTTTGAAATTCTAAGTTTTTAAAATTTATAAACTAATTTTGTTTTCAGAATCGTGTATTTTTTTTTTTTTTTACTTAAAATTCATATTATGAGGGAAAAAAGCTTATTAGTAAGAATTTAAAAAATCTTAGCTTTAAAAGCTAAACATTTTAAATTTGCAAAGCGTTTATTGAATTTGACATTAATTTAACTTTTTAACTTATTTTTTTTCAGTTTAAAATTGTTTTAATTTAGTGAAATTTTTACCCAACAGTTTCGCACTTTAAAAAAATATTTTTTTAAATTTTTATAGGATGAGATTAATTGAAAATAATGCGTTAGAAAACGCACAAGTGGTTGTCATTGGAAACAAAACAGATTTGAGGGATTCAAATAATCCAGCTATTACAAAAGATGATGGCGTTCACATGGCATCTTGTTACAACGCAAAATTCATGGAAACCAGCGTTTACACAAAAAAAAATATTAATAAAACGATCAAAAGAATGGTCACAAATATTTGTAACGAAAAATAATTTCGTATACAAAGTTGAGAACAAAATGTGTCGATATTATGTTTGTTTTACAAATCGCCTGTCGATAACCAAGCCGTATGTCCGTTTTTTGTGTTTCCGAGGAAATCAAGTTTTAAAATTTAATTTATAAAAACTTTCTGTAAGAATGTCCGACTAATTTATAAATATTTTAAAAAGTTGTATCGTTCTTGAGGCTAGATTTATTGGACACATACTCCATTGATTATTGACGGCCTCTTGGTTCTCGGCTGACGATATTGTAGAGTTTTGTTTATTATTTAACTACTTTCTGTACGCACCTAATATTTAAACTTCCTTTGAAAGTTGAACATTTTAAATATAAATTAAATACCGAATAAATCTCATTTTACAGCTATTCGTTATACAATATAAAGTATAAAAAATAAGTTAACATTGAAAAATTTTTGTACAACAAGAATTATAAAGTATAGGTTTAAATTGAAAAACCATTATAAAATAAATACTATGACTTTACAAGTAACAAGTAAAAAAGTAAAATAATTATACAATTTAAAGTTTATATATATTTATTAAATATTCAATTGAAATATAAAAACTCAGAGTCACATAAATCACCAAAACGTTTTTAGTATAAAAGGTACAGACTTCATCTAAAAGAGGTTTTCAAACTATTTCTTGTGATGAAACTAGTATTTGAGATAACAGGATACGTTCTGGTCAGTAGGTGGCGTTATTGGTTCATCGTTGCGTTCAGCATACTGGTTTTGCAATTTAATGGAGTCATGAACTATGTATTATTTTAATTTTCTTTGGCTTTCTTTAAGCAATCTTTCAAAGTTTGCTCAAACTTTACTGTTATATTTTAGCATCTTGTGTACGGAAAGAGGATATAATTTGTGGTTGATTAAAACTTTAAAGACTTAAAACAAAATGAAAGAAATATCTTTTCCAATTATATATTAAACTAAAAGCTAAGAGTACAGGTCTTTAATTTTGGTTTAAAATCTAATCCTAATTCAATAACTTCTAAAAATATTTTAGCATTCTGAAAAGCTCTCTAACCACTGTTCCATCCTTTCTATTTCCATATCCACCCTGAACAACATCCTCTAAAACATTCCTAGAAAAAAATTCCTCGTGTTCACCTTACTGATAATATCTAAAAAATGTAACAATTATTTTGAGCTTTTATTTCAAAAGATTATATTTTACGTCAAAATTTGATTGATAATCATAAAATCATCGTACCTTTCATATTTAGTTTAGAAACATTTATTAATCTACTTTAAAGTTCGTTGAAATAAATGACAAAAATCAACCAACTACTTATTGAGCACTTGAAGCATAATCCCAACTAAAAAAATAGTTTTAGATCGAACAACCCTGTTTTAATAAATAATTCCAGTTTACTACTAAATTGTCAATAGCCTCAAAATACAAATTTTGCACAACAGTATTAAATCTCAGTAAAAAATTTATGTATTTGAATTATCGAGACTGGATGAAATAAAGTTAAAAGATTTTTTATTAAGTTACTTTTGCAAGACTGGTTTTGAAACCAGTCGGGCAAAAGTAACTTAATTAGTTGTTATTGAGAGTGTTTATTTTTGTTTTTGTTTTATGTTCTTTAACATTTCATTTTATAATGCATAATTTTACACAGAACTGAGGTACAGAACAATTGTTTTACACGGGACTGAGGTACAGAACAATTGTTTTACACGGGACTGAGCTGAACAATAACTTTTAAATTAATTTTTTCACCTGACTTTCATTTTTAAGTAAAACGTCGGAAGCTGACGTTTGAAGTCAGGTTCTGACGTTTGACGCTTGACGTTAAAATTTCAATTAATGGTGTAAAAAAAAAGCACTCACAAAAACTAATGCGTACGCCCAATTTTGCAACATACTAATAATATCTGGTCATCATATTCTGTGCTATTTAAAAAAGTTTAAGTTTCTTCCAAACTAGGCTGTAGCATATATTATTTGGCTGAACGCGCTTTTTTAGTTATTTTGGTCTCAGGCGCTAACCACTGTCGTTACGCTACTGTATGCCATATTCTACAAGCATTATTGATAAACACAAATATAATGAATAGTATATATTTTTACGTTTCGGCAATACGTTTATGTAAATAAGCTGAATCTTCAAAGTTTTCAAGAAATAATCTTGCTCAATCATTAGGAAAAGTGTTACCTGACGTGAAAGTTAAGAGTTCTACTGGAGCTAATGTTGCGGTGATACATAATATCTACTTTAAGCAAGTAGCTCTTTGGGACCACAATTGTAGTGAATTAAATAAAAATGGATTGCCATTATACTAAACTTGCAACAATTCTATTCAATTTCTTTTCTGATTGATGTTTTAATATCTCTTCATCAACAAGCTGATACACAATTGTAGTGAATTATCAACAAGATGATAATACTAATGATATACAGCTATTAGAACGGCTTTTGACTTTCCAAGATCTTCTGAGCTAGCTAAAAGAATGTAGTATATTTTTAGTGTGCTTTAATACTTTCCACTCTTTATTGGTTAGGTCAAAGACATCTTGAATTGTTGCAATATAACAAAAGTCAGCTTGAAACTAAAGCTGAAGCTGATCCAGCTTCAGCCTTATATAAATACTTTAAACAGAAATATCAAAAGTATCGATATACTTTTCAAAGTTAAATCTATGCTTTCCGTAGAAAATTTTAAAGTCCTTTACTTTTTGTATATTCAAAGGTTTCTAACATAAGCTAATACTGCACGACAGAACACACATAAATCTATAATAAATTTTCTTTATATACATCAGAAACATGCACCAATTTTGGTTTATAAAAAAAAATATTTACTTATGCCAATCCTTTACTTTGAATAAGTTAAATATTTATCAAATAAACATCTACTATAATATTTTATACGTACTCAAATACTTATTTTACTCACAACTAGAAAAGTTGACAGTATTGCGCAGTAAATAACTCAGTTTTGGAGAAATTCACAAGCCATTGCAAGACCTGTTACAGAAGTATGATCAGAATTCAAACTCGGCTCCTTATTCTAAGCGGATAAGAAGAGAAGTTTTTTTGTCGAGACAGGAGTATAAAAATGAGTCATCAGCAAATAGAGCCACTTTAGATGTAAGGTTTTCAGAAAGATCATTAATGTAGATAAGAAACAAAACAGAACCAAGGATAGAACCTTAAAGTACCCTAAAAGTAACTAGAAATCAAAAAGAGTGTTTGCCATCGAGGGCGACTTTAATAATGCAGTTAGAAAGAAACAATTTGATAATCTTCCCCTAATAAACATTTTTACGATTTTTTGCTCATTTTTTCGGAACTACTGGGGTGCGCAGGTTATCGCAGAAAAAAATGAAAACAAAAATTTCGCGGCAAAAAATATGATATACAGTGAAAAACATTTTTGGCGGTAAAATGCAACACAGTTCAACAAGTTAATCCTTAAAAAATGCCGTTTTTCACTAATTTAGTTGTAAAAAATGGCACGATTTGACAGCACGCAAAATGAAAATGCAAGAAAACTTGTTTTTGATCTATGGAAACGTGGTGTGAAAAAAGTTGTAATTTGCAAAGCCGTGAAGGGACAGCTTCATAATTCCAACGTCTACAGACTCTTAAAAGACTTAGAAACTGGAAAAAATTACAAAAGAAAAAAAACAGGCCCAAATCGTTATGTGAGAAAGAACTTCGAAATTCGATCGACTGCAAAGTACGACGAAACCCAAACAGGTCAATTTCATCCTTAGCTAGAGAAGCAGGTGTGTCTCGAAGGACTATGCAATGTGTTGTCCACGATGATATGGGTATGAAGAGCCTTGTCAAGTCAAAAAGACAACTTCTGAGTGAGGCAACTAGAGCCAAAAGACGCAAAAGATCAAAAGAGTTACTAAATTGGTTCAAAGACCACAAAGATGTCCCTATCGTTTACAGTGATGAAAAAATTTTCACAGTTGAACCAGAACCCAACAGATACAATGACAGAGTTCTTGGTAAGTCCAGAAAAACAGTTCCTTTGGAACTGAGGACTATTCCAAAGAGACAGCACTCTGTGGGCGTCATGGTTTGGGCAGGTGTGTGCTCTGATGGGTCAAAAACTCCCCTTGTTTTTGTTCCTGAAGGTGTAAAAGTCAACCAGGTGACCTATGTCGACTTCATCAAAGCTAACCTCATTCCTTGGGCCAAAAAGAAGTTTGGGGACGATCCATGGGCCTCTATGCAGGATAATGCACCAGCACACAGTGCAAAGAAAACTGTCAGCTTCTTGAAAGAAAATGTTCCGCACCTTTGGACCCCAGATATGTGGCCCCCTTCAAGCCCAGACATTAATCCTATGGATTTTGCTATATGGAGTGTCATGGAGACCAAGAAGGCAGCCAAAACATATCCAAATTTGGCAGCCCTCTGAAACGAATTGAAGAAGATCTGGAAGAATCTTAGTCCGGACATGCTGTGAGTCAGTTCCAGAGCGTTTGAAGAGTGTCATTGATGCCAAAGGAGGCTACTTTGAAATTCATTAGTGTTTTTGAATAAAAATATATGTGATTTGGTATTGTGAAAAGTTTTACTTTGAAAATAAAAGCCATTTTTGAGATATAAATATTTTTATTTTTCTGCGATAACCTGCGCACCCCTGTACAAGTTAAACTATTAAAGGAGAGTCATAGAAAATCGCTATTAAATTTTTTTTTTTAATTTTCATTTATTTTAACAAAACTTATTTTTAGTTTTGAGAGTTTGAAGTTGAAATTTTGACAAAACCTTTTTTTTTATAAATAAAAATTGCAAATTTTGACAAAATTTTTATGACAAATTATTTTTTGGGAATTATTTAAATAATCAGTATTTTTTTTTAAATGATTGGTGGTTATGAACCAGTAAAATAAACAAATTACCAGTTAATTGATTAAGTAATCAGTAAATTAATTAAATGACCAGTATATTATTATTATTTTTTTACAAAAAATGTCAACACTATGTTTTTTTTTTTTGAAAAGGTTAATAAAAAAAACTGGAAAAAGTTTAAAAACATAAAAAAGATTTTTCTTAAAATCAATAATTTGACTGCTTAAACCAAAACCCTCAGTCAATGTATGCTTTACCTGTTTAATTTAGTTGACTCTCTGTATATCTTAACTATTTAAGTCAGTGATGTATGCAAATTTAATGAATGTTTGTGCAGCCTCGGCACATTGGTTAAAGTTCTCAGAAACAAGATGATTTGCCTAGTAGTATTTTTGTGGTAATAATTGTGGTAGTGGTGTAGTGGTAGAACGCTCGCCTTATAAGCAAAAAGTTGCGAGTTCGATCCCTACCACGTCCCTGGTCGTACCGCGCTTAACTTGTTTCCGCGTAGCGGCCTTACAACCCTCTC